GTATCTTAAAGCGTATTGAGTTCTGTGAAGCAGAACTAGATTCGTCTTCGCCGAATCTGGCATGGAGCGTTAATGGAGGCAACTGCCATAGCAGAAAACTGGTTTCCCGCTGGTTCCAAAATCTATGACATGGTTTTCCATGTCTTTCTTTCGTTCTGTTTGTTCTTTTTCTTTTCGTTTCTTCTTGTTCAATCAAAGGTGTACTCAAGGTAAATTTGCAGCTCTGGGCTGATGAAGAATGAAGACTGTGTCATGAATTATGGTCAAACTAACCTACTTTTTTTGTTTTATGCAGCGTATGTGATGCACAGGAGGTTACGAAATATACTTGGGCATTTAAACTGATCAATGAATCATATTCAATGAAAACGCTTTTCTTTGCTGTGGATTCTGAGTTTGATCTTAATGTAAGTCAATGCTATTTTCACTTCAAAGTGAGTGCTGCACAGAAATTCTGTCGTATTATGTGGTAATAGGGCGGAGTTCATACAACATTCAACCATGTTATTTGATAAACAAAGTCATCATGTGAGAAGAACACAACTGGGGAATCAAAACGTGATGATTGGATACAATAGCCGGCTGATCGAGCCCTTTAAATCATAATTAAGCAAATGCGGTTGAATTGAACTTCATTGAAGAAACAAGTGATAATTTCTTGGTGTCAATACATGGTTTCCTCTATGTTTGGAATTAGGTCCAGGCATCCTAAGGAACTTTCTTTACGCGGCCCGCTTGCTCAAAGTCCCTTGTTTCTGTACTTTTTGCCGCTATCGAACCGTTTTCTAATTGAAAGCCCATAAAAGGTAGAGTTATGAAATTCAGTTTCCCTTTCTGTATTTCTTGAGCTTTGATTTACAATTTTGCTGAGAAAAAATATGGGGAAAATTTTATATTAAATATACAAGGAAACCTTAGTATGGTTTAATTTCTTTTCTGTGTTCAGCGTTGGCAAGAAGCGATAACGGAGGACAAGAAAATTTATTGCTGCCCTGTCTCAGAGTAAGATTTTAAATATAGTTTTATCAAGCTAGCTACTTCAAGTAAGAAGTTATTCAACAGAAAATATTAGTAGGATTTCAATATAATTAAGTGTACGGTCTGGTTTCAAACCAGAGCTCGGAACGCGTGAAGCACCATAAGTAAGAGAATATGGCAACCATTAAGGCGGCAGCATTTAGTTATAATGTAACCTTTTTACGACACGTCTGCGGTTGTTTTGTTTAGTGCGAATCAAATTAACTGTCTTTCATTACGTACTTATGATTAGACGATGCAAGCCAGAAAAAAAATAATTGTTCTAATAAGGTTTTAGTTTGTCTTCCCAATAACTGTCGAAATGTTCACATAATATTTACTCCTGCCTGACGACGCTGTTTATTAGGAGCTAACTTCTTTGAACGGACGTTAGAAAAAATTTCCATAAGATCTTTGCCTTTTGGCTCGTCTGCCTTGGTAGGAGACCGTGACCGTAGCCAAACGGTGAACGCGCTGGACTCCAGGGCACTAGTCTAAGGCAAGGAAAATGACAGTCACAATACCTAGGAGTATGAAAGGTAAACTGTCTGGGGAGTTAGACGAATGTCTGAGGGAGCGGACAGTGCATACTGTTATTTTGTTTTCACTTTAGGGTAGATCCAGCACAGGAGCACCGCTCTATCAACATTAATCGAACTGGTCCATCTTGCTCACCGCCAGCTCTCGCTCGCAGACCTAATGCAAGAACAATACCTCACAATTTAGAGCTATCGCGTAATGATCCTACGGATGTCCCTGCAGGACAAGCTTCAGTCTCTAACGAGACAACAAAAGTGCACAGCAAGCCACATGCTAAAGTAACTCAGCAGGTCACATGGTACATCCCACCTCCTCATTCAGAAACCAACGTAACAACGAAGCAGCGTCCTTTTTCCGTCCTTGCGGGACCATCCCAGGAAAATAGGCTAACGCAGTCAAACGTGCCACCTTGGTTTGGAACACAACAGGAAGCAAGAATAAGACCATTACCCAAACGATCCCAGCAAAAGAAAAATGAACCTGTACAATTCTTCCAAAGGTCACTCCAAGAAGTGGAGGCTCACAGTCCATCAGGTCAGTCTCGCCCACTTCCTGGAATCACACAGATTCACGAAAGGTCATGAAAGACCCCAATAAGGGAAAAAAAAGCTTTGAACAACTCCTCACATACCAATCATGACCCTTTCAGGCTTCGATCAAGTGCCAGGGAAAATCACTGCAGGAAGAGATTCCCTTCAGATAATCTTTAGCTGCATTCTGAGTTTCTAGTTTACTAAGCTGTGACTATATGAGGCACACTTTTGTTACATAAAAATTGGGACTTTTTTGTATTGATACTATTCTAGGAAATTTCATGCTTGATTTTACTACATAATAATTTATGTCACAAGGAAGCTTTCTTCACATTTTCCATAAACCTCCATGCCCGTGTAACATAATGGACGATGACGGGAGTGTCACCTCCACTAACAGTTCCATTTTCGAGTAATCAGCTTACCGTATGGCACTTTCCTAGAATTGCCAAGTTCGTTCAGATCACCATTGACCGCAAGTAGCTCCACTCCAATGAAATCTAAAGCACTCGAAAGGTACGCATCAGTTAAATGGCAATATAATGGCGCCGCATACATTTCAAATCTTTGTGAAGAAGATGAAAAGCTTGGTTTAAATTAAATATTCTTTTCATACATGCACGTGTTCGTATGGTATGAAATTGACTTTAAAAATAGAAGACCTGAAGCATATAATGTCTCGGTATAAATTATAGACATAATATATATTCTACGACGCAGTCATATGTGTTCTGATGGTTTCATATATATTTACCTAATAAAAAATGGTTCCCGATGTGGCCTTAGTAGAGCTGACCTATTTTTGTTTTACTGTTTATCCTCACAGAGGTGCCCCGGATGGACAAAGTGTCAAAAGTGGACAAAGAGAGGTGAGCTACGGACTCGAGGTATTTAAATTAGTCGGATTTCTCTGAATACAGGGAACAAATGCGAGACAAAAGCAATTCATCCTATTCAGAAGACTATTCAGGCATTTAAAGTGAAGGGTACTTGTTGTTTCGGAATCCTCGCTTAATGTGTTATCAAATTTTGACATAAACTGGCCGAAAAAATCTGTTTTCATTTTGTATTTTATGATAACTTTGGAGTACTTTGAGAGTGACTTATTTAAGGTATCGTGTATATGCGTGCTCAAAATTGGTAACCAAAGTGCTTTCTTCTAGCAGGATAAATCTTCACTGACTTTGATTCATGACATGGACAGCTCACAAGCTACTAAGTAAGCAACTATAATAATTTTGGTTGTCGCTTTATCTTTAAAATGTTATCCACATTTGTCCTGATTTATATATTAAGGAAGTATTCCATTTCTCCTATTGTAGGTTGCTGAAGGACAGGCCCGGAGTTTATATTTTACGCGAAAGTAAAACCAAACAATCGACAATGGTGAGAAATCAGTCCTTTGACACGTTCGATAGAAAACTAACCCACAAGAAACCCTCTCCCCGACAGCGGAAAAAAAACACAAGCAAGAAAAAAGAATCGCCGGTTTTTTTTAACCAGCCTTTTCTCGCCAGCTTTCGCCTTGCCTTTTCTACGATCGAGATGGACATAGCCGAAAGGAACCCTACTTCGAATTTAAGGGACAGATGATTCTATTCATCATAGCCATCGAGTGTTAAATCCCCTTGAGCAGTCAAACTTGTTGGGTAGTATTAACAGTTCAAACAGGAGTCTCTCACTACATTTTTGTTTTGCCATTGTATAGGTTTTGTCGGTTGGTACAGGGGATAAAGTCGTGCACTATCGGATATCTTATGACGAGGTACGGAAGCTTGTAATAGGCAACGATTGGAATAGGTTGAGTGCGATATCAGGAATAGTCACTACCGAGGTTTGAGTTGTCTGTCGAAAATGAAGGCTGAGGCAGATAACACAAACTCAAAGTTTGATAATTCATGATATCCTACAAAAAAAACTGATATATTTTTTAAGTTTGCAAAGTTTGAGAACACGACACGAACGGGGGCTAAGCAAACTTCGAACTCGATCTGATTACCCAATATCTGCTGCAGATATGTAGTGGGTTAGTATTTCAACTTCGAATTCACACGCTATGGTAAATTGGCTGTATGCCCTGGACCAATCAGAGATTTCATTTTAAGTCTAATGTAAAAAAAATGTTGTTTGTCATCGTTAGCTCTTGATATTTTTCTTCTTATTTCTTTCACCTTTACAGGAACAAGGATATTCTCTCAAAGAACAAGGAACCCCAAGATTTCCCGAAATAACAGACTTGTTAAGTCATTACTCCTCGTTTGATCTCCCCACCCATGATTTGAAACTGACCGTGGCAGCCACTTACAGATAGAAATTGACAATTTTTTTTCCGAGCATAAAATAAAATATCTCTATGTGTGGCTTGTATGAAGTTTAAACGTTCTAGCCCTGGCTACTCAATCTCAAGCATTCATGATCGTCATTATGGGGCGCTTATCAATGGATATGAAGTCTGAAGAGAGCTAAATAACTTATAACTACACAAACATTCTTGTAAGTTGTAAAGTAACCATATACAATTATAAAAGGTGGCAGCAATCTTGAATAATAGGTACGCAATGCATAAATGTGTCGATTGTTGAGGTCATATCGTGTTGAAGTGATATTTCGTCGAGAATTTCGCAGGGCTTTTTAATATTTAATTTTACAAGGCTCGCACCTTCGACGAAATTCACTAAACTTACAATTAGTTTCCCTTGCCCTTGCTGCTATTTTTTTAAGACTATTGGTCGGAGCGTCTACACTATCCAAACGTTTCAATATTACACATACCTACACCGTGAGTTTCTTCAAATGAAGAATTCGTCAACTCAGTGAACTTCATCTGCAAAACTCAGAGGAGAGGGTGGAATAATTTAAATAGCAAAACAAACTACAAAATTTCTGAAGATTTCAGTCACAAATCGGCCCACGAACTACACTATTGTAATATGTATGACTGTGAGTTGCCCTATTGTCCTCTAATGCTTAGATATTGAATAAGGGCACCGTTTGAAGATCCGCTATCGACAACGTGACAAACGTTCAAACACCTCGGACAAACACTTTTAAGGACTAGTGTGGTGTCTGCTTGCGCAAGCGTAGATGACACAGTAAAAGCATTGACATTATCTATCCACTGAAACCACCACAACCCACCAAACTAAAATAAAGAACTTTCATTTTCACTAGCTAAGGTCTTTTCTCAGGCCTTCTTTACCGAAAAAAACTTTCTCTGACTCGTTGTACGTTGTACTCCCCAACAGAATACTCTGATGCTCTCTATTTTTCCATTCGTTTTATTTCCCTTCATGTATACATAGCAAATAGGTTGTTTATCATTATTGCAGAAATTGTATTCATGAGAGAATAGAACAAATACCTCCATGATGGCTTGGTTTCTGGAAGTGGAAAAAGTCAAAGATGGCAAAAATTATTTATGCAAACATTCTCCTCTTTTAGGTACTATATATCAATTTTAAAAAAAGTGAGGTGACCGTTGCACGGTGTTGCCAGCCCCCACCGACATTGTCACCTCCATAGTGTCCGGTTTTTCTTTACGCGTGTTCTAGATTGCCCTTGTTCGATTTTATTTTCTCGAGGCTTTATCATTGTTGAAATTATCAAAAGCTAATAAAACAATAACAAACAACAAACAAAAACAAACACCAGTAAACATAGGAGGCTTTGCGTCATTAGTTAACATTGTTGTTTGGTTTTCATTTTCTTTTTATAGTTCATACAGAGAGTTTTTCTTCTTTTTAAACCTTGTAAAAGGCAGCAAATCTCCACCAAGCAAGGAAAGCAACCGAGACAAAATGAAACAAAAAGAAAAAAAAGGCATACATGTCTCTTATCCGATCTAACCTACATGCATGTGATCCACTTTTCAGCGCAGCCATGAATTAGTTTTGAAAATCATTCGCACTCTATACAGTTAGATGATTTTAACCTTTACAAACAGTACCTAAATGACAGAAAAAGCCTCTTATTGAGCAAAGTCGACGTGAAAAAACTTTATCTGTTTTGGGCTCATGTGAAATACTCACCAATATGTAAAGATGTTTTTAACCAGCATGTGGTGGAAGGGTTGTTTTCTCCGCTTTGTAATTACGATCAAGGCTTTGTGCTGAAGGTGATGGGCAAATTTTGCTGTCAACGGTATTGCCAGAAGAGAGTGAACCCTTCTCGTAACTAGAGGGGTCACCATTCGTGCGTTTTATCGCAAAAATCTGTCAAATAATCAAATAAGTTACCTAAATATAATCTGAACCTATTTCTACTTATAGTCACTCTCTATGAGGCAATTCGAAGTTCTGAGTTATTTTGAACCAGTCAGAGCAAGTTTTCTTCGAAACCTTAGGAGGTGCCAGCCTCTCGTGGAAAACTAATTTTGCCTGAAGTTAGAGTTGCTTAACCGTGGTGATGGAGATAATTTATCATCATGCAGTGAAAGAAAAGAACAAATTTTATTCACCCTGCATATGCTTCGAATTCTTCATTCTTGTCAGATCTCTGAGACTTAATATGTTATGCCAACGCATAATACTTGCTAGACTCTGTTGCTATCCTCAACTCTCACAGAAAGCGATATTGTAATAATTTTAATGACAGTAGACTTGGTGAAAAGTTCAAACTGGTTTAAAATGGTAGCGTATGACCTTCTGAAGGTAAGGAACATGCCACGCTCCGTCTCCAGACTTTTCCTTTGAAAGTACAGAGTACCTTGACGTGCCGCTTTAAATGAGATTATTTAACCATTTGAAGTGTATCCAATCCCTTCATAATATAAATTCACTATAATTGGAAACTTTTTTTACAATTGTGGTTTTGCCTCCTGCCTTCGATAGCGAGAGGTATGTAGCTCCTTGTACTTACCTTTGGAACAAAGATCAGGCACTGAGTGATGGTAGTACAGAAAAGGCACAGCAAAGTGCTCAACAAGTACACTGCATCACTGTGACTCCCCAGTAGGTTCAGTATAGGAATTATAATGACACAAGGAATGAACACATTGTACACAGCAAAGCCGATCTGCTTGGAATCGTTTAGCGCTGGCATGTGGACTTTGCGAGTTTCCCATGCCAGGTAGGTGCAGAATAGCAGAAGGAAGCCTTTGTAACCATATAGCAAACCTGTCCATAAGTTTTCATATTTTGAAGTGCAGAAGGTCTGGTATGGGTAAATGGCAATGTCAGCGTCTTGGTCAATCTGAAATATTTGATAATTACG